GAAGAGAACAAAACCGAGCATGAAGTACCACATGAATACGGACCATACCGGGGAGAAGCCGTTTCCATGCAAAATATGTGCTGCTCGTTTTGTACAAAAAGGCAATGCCAACACACATATGAAACGCGTTCATTCGACATGAATTACATCCATATTTATTCCATTTCAACTCATTTCCTTATTATTCCACATTAGTTTTAAGTCCAAATGATCAAAAATCATGAAATAAATTGCTGAATTTAACAGAAATTGAATAAAACTCCTTTGAAGTAGATGAAAACGTGATTTTACTTGGAAAATGTATGATTTCATGATGAGGCTTATACAGTAATCTTGATTTTTTTGTTGTATAGATGTTAAGAATGACGAATCTTCATTGTAGATTTATTCAATTATTATCAACGAAGGAAAAGTGGTAAAGTATGAGCAACATATCGATGAGTTCTTGAGATAAGCGAATCAATTACATTACAACATAACCAAGGACCACATTTGAATTTTTATGTTTCAATCAGTTAAAAATGATCAATGTAATAAAAGAGAACATTTAAATTTTTCCTTGTTCTAATATTAATTTCTACTAACTATAGCGAAACCAGTAAATTTTAATTACATATCGAGCGTCAACTTCATTTTAACTTACGTCATCTTTATTTTAGTTTATATCGATTGTTCTATAAGTTGTCTAAACTATGGATAAACTGCTTTTTATTCTTCCAGTACTTCATAGCGTTTAAAAGTTATTCCAGTTTTCTTTGCTTATTCATATTCAATTCGCTTTTGATTAATATTTCATCAAATATAAATGTAAAACATTTGTATCGAAATCCACATTCCATATTTTCATTTGAATTATGATTGATTCATGCTTCTATTTCTATGAATTCACTGCTGTAAAAGAAACAATCTGCCTTTTCCATAATTTGTATTCAGGTCGAGTGAAGAATATTTAGAAATGATGAATCATTGAAACAACTTTCCACATTACAATAAAATTGGAGTTTTGAAAATCAAACAAATATTGACGGAATTTTATTTAAACGAAAATATCGTTTAACCCATTGGTGGTGATTATACTCATCATCAATGAAAGGAGGCATTAAAATTGATTGACACTCCGGTGAAATGGTAGCAGACTAGACTAGTTCAGAGAAAAAATCTCGCAATTTGTTTGGGATAGATCTCGAAAATATACGAAAGAAACACTTTTGAGAAATATTTTTGATATTGACAGGCAGCCGCAACTTGAGAATCGTAAAAATATAATTCTAGGTTTTAGAAAAGATTTGGAACATTTGTGACACCACAAGAACAGACGGTGCAAAGTCCAGAGTTCGAAAGCGCCAGAGACGGTCGGGATTGACTTTTCATATTAACATCCGTCATAAAATTGCACGAGAGCGTTAGACTGCGAAGGAATTCATCATCTTTATACATGAACGCCGTTTGTAAGTACGAAGAGGCCCGAGTGGAAAAAAAGTGACTAAGTTACTATTGACTGTAAGTGACTATAGTTAGCTATATTCATGAATTTTAAAATTTTGTTTGGAAAACAATCGACTATAGTTACTCAGTTAGTCAGGCGATTATTTTGGGACGTTTTGACTATCGGGTGACTATGATTATTGTCAACTATAGTTAGCTGTTGCAGTTAACCATAGCTTACTTTAATTGATTGAAGTTAACTAAATTTAACTAAGGTTGCTTGTTTTTACAGTCTATAATCAGTCAGTTTGTCCCAAAATAGTCAGTCACTTTTTTTGTACACGGGGGCGCTTAGTAAAATTAATAGAGTAAGGGGAAGCAAATGTGTGTCAAAGTAACAACTTAAACTATCATTATGAGGTAGTTGTGTGAGAAACTTTTCAAATTGTATTCTATGGTCTATATCATGGGCATGGTCCGTTGCCACAATGCGTCCACAACTTACCATTTTTTGCACAGAGAAATTATTACTGGACACTTTGCTCTTTCTTGTATCAGGTACGGCACTTGAAAAATTATTTACCAAAACCAAAACTCATTACCAATGACAGCTAATTAACAGCTCTGCAAGTTGAAAAGCAAATAAATTTCAATTTTCAATCTTTTTGGGAGGAGCTTCCCTTAATGTACATGACCGTTAACTCTCTCCAGCTCTGTGCCTAATGAGCACTGCCTATATGGTACCCATATTTTGTTCTATATAAAAAAAATCGAAATTATTTCTTATCAACTAAAACGGCATTCAACCAAAATCATTTGTTGCTGCAATCGAAAAAACTGACCTCTTCAAACTTCCGTTCGACAAATTTTTTCATTGGAAAAATGACGAATATTTACTTCGCTGACTGTAGCAATTCAATAATAAATGTGATAGTCCTTCCAAAGAGAATGGTCAAAATTGTATAAATAAGTACATGATGCGATGACGATATACTTGTCTCCATAATTAAAAACCTTAAAAATAAAAGCGTTCGAAATTTCTCGACGTCATGTTATATACATTCCCAATAAAATTCCCGAAATAAATATGAATACATTCGAAACTATATAAAAATCTATATTACAACGAAAAAAAGAATTAAAAATAAACAAACGACTTCGCATTAACCCGAAAGAGGCGGTACGGATACATTCAAATCGATTGACGACCACTAGCAACACACCGAAAAAAAACCCTGGAAAATCAATCAAAATATTTTGTGTACTTGGTCATTTCGTGAAAAAAAAAACACACACACACACACGAAATCGATAAAATATGGACAAAATAGTTAGAATTGACACGATATATATATCATTGTAAGTTCAATTTAACTTTGTCGCATATGGTTCGGTTCCAACTGTATCGCGTACACAATTATTCAGTCAGTAAAAAACCGACGTGTCCAATAGTTCAAATTCAAATTTTGTCGCAGATGGATGTCATTCAAACGCGATTTATTTGGTTTATTTGATGTTTATGTGATAAGCAAAAATGGATAGACACAATGCAAACGGTGAAAAGAGTCGAGATTTTGGTGACCTGCCAATCGTTGTTAAAATTCATAAATTTATGCAATAGAAATGGTGTTTTTATTCGTAATGTTAAAATACCAAATTCGTTATTGATTTGTGCTTTTTTATCGCCAATCATTTATGAGGCGATTTCGATAATTTGGTTGGTGGTCGAAACCGACATGGAAATGCAAAAGAAATCAAATGTGCTGTGCATTTTTGTTGCTATTTTACAAGTGACTTTAACATACGTTTCAATGATGAAATCAAACACATTTACTATGGAAACCATCGATCATATTCAACAAATTGTTGATAAAAGTGAGTTTTTGGTTGGACGAAATTACAAAAAAAAATGAACTAAAATTGAAAAAGGGCATGTCTACGATGAATTTCAGTCCATTTTTCTTTAAAAAAAATCCCGGACACCGTTTCGGGGAAAGAGACTGAAGTTCGGTAACAAATAAGCGGTTTCAGTCGCGGGCACCGTTTCGAATTTTCTTCACTTAAAGGTGTCAACGAACAAAAATTGTGCGTCATGTCTCTCTCTGATGATTCGGGGACTAAAATTGTATCCGTCCGTTTGTACAACGGAACATAGTTTTTTTACATCACACAGTGCCAATTATCTTTTTTTCTCCATGTTCTCTCTGCTTCAATGTGTAGTATTACATCGATATTGACACTACAGTTCCATAATACAAAATACATTTTTTTATTTACTAGGATGCGAAAGTACACCGGAATCGTATAAAATCTACGAGGAATGCGAGATGAAATATGCGAAAGTTGTAAAGATGATATGGAAATTCGGGATTGGATTCGTTGTTGTTGTGCTATCAATACCGCTTCTCTTTCCGTTGGGTCATTTATTATTTCATTATCCACCGCCGAAGCTTTGGGCACTTCCGATACCGTCAAAGTATGTTTTTATATTACCATTCATGCTCTTTTTTCTTCAAAATTACAATTATAGTGTTTTGAATAATTGTTTGTCGTGGGAGCAATACACGTGATATTAATACAAATAGAGAATGATTTCGTGGTTTTAAAAAATCCAAAGAAAAAATCAATATACTCTCGCTCTTTCTCAAAATTATGATAATGTTCGTCACCCTTCACTTTGAAAAGAGAAAAAAAAAACTTTTGATTAATATTTCATTGCTTTTCCCCCTCTCTAATTTTAGAACACCCTTTAACAAGGAAACATACTTCGGATTTATTGCATGTGTGTTTCTTCAATCGTTCGGAATGGTGTGTTGGACAATGGGATTCATTGCACCGTTGACACTGTACATAGGATTGTGTTCGTATATAATTGCGCATGCGATGGATTTTAAAACGATTGTTGTTCGGCTGGACGACCAAATAACACTCAATCGTCACACAAGTAAAAAGAAGAAAAAACCCAGCGCCGATATCAATTTGATGTTGACGAATATTTTAGTTGAAGCGTTTGGAACACATTTGGATTTGTTTAAGTATGACACAGATGGAAATTTATTCCCATTTATCCATGCATATGTTTTGAATGAATTCTCTCTGTTGTCAACAGATTGCTGGAAAATACACGAAAAACGGTGTCCGGTTATTTATACTTTCAATTTTTATTCACGCTAAATTACATTGCGTACGTTATATTTGGATTGGATGGCGTGGCACACGAATTGAATTTCAACGGATTTACTGTTTATTTTATTCTATTCATATCGATTAGTGTGAATTTTATATTATGCTATTATGCTGACAATTTAACGTCACATGCATGCGGAATCGCCGATGAATTATACAATTCATTGTGGTTTGAAATGCCAATTCAACAACAAAAATTACTACTCGTACCAATTTGTCGGGCACAGAAATTGTTTCGATTGACCGGTTTTGGGATTTTTACATATTCGCAGCAAAATTTCGCATGGATTTTACTTCGATCACAATTTACAAGACTGATCATGTTCATAATGACGGGCAATAAATCGCCCGCTCTTATGCTTGTTAAAGATATCACTAATGTTAATCTTTGAATCGTTTTTTAATTCAATCGTGGAATTTTTGAAGGAGTAATTAATGAAGAAATAAAAATTATATTTTTTGGAACAAATTACGTTTTTTTGAGTTTTATATTTGGCTATGTATGAGAGGAGAGAAATGAAAAAGGCTTTTTAGAGAATTAACAACGACCTGAAGTGAAGTCGAATCGAACAAGAAAGTGTGTGAAACAAATAATATTTCAAGGATGCAAAGAGAAATTCGTGAAGAATTGCGCTATGTGTTTCACTCATTTTGGCTCTCTGTGCGTTCATTCATTTCGCTGTGCGTTCATTCTATTGAGATATTTTCAGGCAGTTGAATTCGTTCAGGTACCAAGCGTCAAACGCTGAAAAGGAGCGACAATAGAAGTAAATTTAGTCGAAACTGCTAAAATAAAGAACCATTCAATGGGCGACAAAAAAAGCTGTAGTGGAGATCACTCAAAGCAAACTGCAATAAATACACTTAACTTGATACGCTCCAATCGGTCAACAGATAAAACAATGCACGTGGTTGAATAGACAAAACTTACATGAATACCACAAAACATGACAACAACGAAGATTTTAGACTATTTAGAGTAAATCTTGCAAGCAGTGGAAACGCCTAATTTTTTGAATTTGTGGAAAACCGAACCAAATATTTGACATTTCAACTACCGTCGTAGCGACCAAAGAACACATTTGCGACGTGCGAAGTGATGTGAGACCATATTTGATACTTAAATGATCATACACAACCATAGCAAACCTGTTACGAACCATTGAAAATGAGTGAAAGATGAAATACAGCAGCAATGCAAACTTACTTGGTTCTTTTGCTTTGAGAGTATTGAAATCTCCGTACTGTGAAATTATCTCTATTTTTTCGAGATGCCAATTCATTTTTATTCTTTTTTGAAACTTTGTATGACATGTACAAGACTTCTTTGAAAACGAATGTTTCTTACTCATGTTATCAAAGTATAGCTACTCCCTTGTATGGCGAGAAATACATGTTATCAAAGTTCCGCCATACAAACAATTTTTTTGTAAAATTCTACTTGTAATCAAATCCGGAGTGTGTTGTGAAATTGGATTTTATGACTAATGAATTATAAGAAATATCCGGGCAAATCTGGTCTTCGTCAAATAATGTGTAGATGAAATATAAACCCATTATAAATACAGCTATTCACAGAATTCATCTTTATTTACGGTGACCGCACTAATTACCGAAACATATTTCCCGAAATTGCAAAATATTCTAGTTTATTCAGTTCAATCAATGAAACGGCGTTCGCTGCGATAAAAATACCTCGCATGTATTGGCCTTTTACATGCCAAATGCTAACCAGCCCTGCGATGTAATACCTAACGGCAGTTCCGCGGGGAGAGTGGTAGAAGAGTGTCAAGGGTGTGGTTTAGTACGTAGGCGCTTTCCCAGTCGGCGAATCGTGCATGCTAATCGGTCACATCACCATTGGTATCTTTGGAAGATTCCACATCCAGGCAAAAAGCCAAAAAAAAAAAAACATACACATACACACACACACACACACACATACGCAAAAAAACTTCTGCGTGTATAAAATGTTTACGAACACATTGAGGGAAACAAAAAAATTATTATTATTTCAGTTTATTTCTTTTGGTCAAACAATCAGAAGAATGTTTATCTTTTTTTTATTTTCACCAGCGAAATTTTCCGTTTTCTTTGTTCCATAAATTTTACATTCCTTTGAAGTGTTTTTTTTTCCTATCGCACTATAATAAGTGGCGCCATCAATAATTTTCAACAGCATACGAAAGATTCAATATGGCGTCGGGCAAAACTTCAATTGCTATGCAAAAAAAGTCTATTGTCATCGACACAATTTTTTTGTGCACTATTTACAGACTGTGTATAGTAAATTAAATCAATTTGCAGCGAGAATTAAGCGAAAATCGAACAATCAAATGGAACTTTCTAATATGGTGAGTAATTTTAAATAATTAGATTGCTGACATTCTTAGAAATTCATCGAATATTCTATAGTACTGAATTTGATATGTCGTATAAGCATTCATTTAATCGGGAATTTAAATTTAAATTTCTAGGATAACCAACTCAAACCCACCATTGAAAAACTATTCAATGCATTAAATAATAAAAATGACAGCGAAATTCTGGGTTATTACGAGCGCACGGTTTTGTTGCTGAACAATGAATATTTTGTAAAAAGTCATTGGCCGGATGACAAAAAATTTGGTAAAGACAAATTTTCAATTATACTCTGCAAAGAATTACGTCAGCGTCATGCATATACGCACATCTCGTCACTACCAAACCAGGACCACAAGTCTGCATTTGAAAACTGTCGCAAATTTTTTGATTTGATTGCGAAGATATCGAAACCCGTTCAATTGAAACTGCCAGACGATTGGCTATGGCAAATAATCGACACTTTCGTGTCTCGATATATTGAGGTTAATGGGCGTGATGATGCGAGAAATACATTTTCTGATATATACACACTTATATCGCTAGTATTAGCTTTTAGCATTTGCGGATTTTTAGATATAATTAGTCCAAAAGGACTAACCATTAGTCCCAAGGGATTAAATTTTTTTTATAGTTAGTAAATATATTTAATCACTAAAATTACTCCACATATTATAAGAAGTTAATATAAAAATACATTTTTACCTAACACATTGTTTTAACGTATAAGTATTTCTTCTGCACTTGCGTTAAGTACAATTCGGTGCTAAAAAACTCATGCGTACTCGGATGACATTTGGTCTGTTGACATTCAATGTTCGGTTGCGTCTGTGTTTGAAATGTTTACAAATGGTTCAAAATGTGCAATGAAATAGAAAATTCAATATTTTTGGATATTCGTATAAATTCTGTTACTCGTTTAATACGTCTAACAGAGAATGAAGTTAAGAATCCAGCTATTCTAGTCGAAAAAGGTGGGTTTTAATATGATGTTGTTTTTATATCAGTGTTACATTTTGTGTTTAGTTTTCAGTGCTTTTGAAATCACATCTGACAAGTATGTGAACTTTGTTTTCCGTGACAACTTACGGGCACCAGTTGATGTTTCAGATTTGCCCGATTTAATTATGCAAAAAAAAGGCTCCGGTTCCTTTTTTATTGAATTGGTACTCAAAACACCACCTTTGTCGCTAAGAGCTGAGGTAATGTGACAATCTATATTTTTGATCAAGTCACAAATAAACATAACCTATATCTTTGCCTATAGAGCATTCAACATTACATTGAAGAAATGTACCCGCATGCAAACATTTTTGCTGAAACAGAAATTTCGGATGGTATTCTTTCGAAAAAAAATGAAAAATTTGTTACGGATGCGTTATACAAATATATTGTTGAAAATTTTTCAGAACCATCACAAAACGATATTATCGAGTGTTGTAAGGCTGCCATTCAACTTTTTACATCTTTGGAAGCAAGGCCGAGCACATTTCATGGCATTGTGAGTTACATAACAATGAAATATTCCAATATTTCTTTTGGTCAATTTGTTATATTTTTTGCTAATTTTATATAGGATAATCTTTATAATCCGGGAACCAAAAAAGGCGCAATTTTTCATAAATTCCGCAATGCTAAATATGCTTTAGCAAAAAAAGCGAAGTCAACTGCTAATGGGAACAATATCTCGGAAGAGGATGTGAAGAAGACTTTGAAGTATTGTGTTGTCAAAAATGATAAAGAAAAATTGAAGGAATTCTTGCGAGAAAGTGTTGACATACGTCGCAAAATGTTGGCAGAAAACGACGGCGATTCAAACGAATTTTGGAAATTTTATTTTGTTGACGTGGACTTGGTAAAATTACATGTTATATTAAATTTGAAATTGATTGTGTTCATATTGTTTGTATATTTTTAGATTCTTTACGATTTCACAATTTTGTTTGAAAATATCAAAAGCACCGCTTTGCAGGAGAAGTGGGATACGCTCCATGATAAACCACTCTCGGAATTCGCAGATAAAATTGACATGAATAAAATACCAACGAGGGATATCAAAATTTGGCAGTTGATCACCACATTTACAACTCTTAAACCTCGCGGTGATACGTGGAAAACATTGTCTTCATTAATCATTTTTTCAAACGTAACAAATATTTTAAACTTTTCAATTTATTACACAAATATGCATTATAGATTTAATTTTCAGGACGCACAAGCAGAGCCAACGAAACTAAAAACTTCAAGTGAAAAACCTTATATCATTGCCATTATAGGGTCAGACCGAAAACAAATGAAATTTTACATTTCTATTCGAGGATCATTGATCAGCGTGAGCATTATAAAACATATAACTTTTTTCTCAATATAAAATACTAAGCAACTCTGCTTTTGTAGGTGCCAGTAACATTTGATATCGTTGGCGCATTGGATTTGCTCTATAAATTGCATAAAATTCTGGCAATTGAACCACACGCACATCTCAAACGGTTAATGGATTTTTTTGACTATTTTATTTACGAAAATGAAGACGAGATTGACTCTGGAGCAAAAAATCAAGTGATGCATGACATTGGCGATAAACTTCGCGTAATGTCAATTTGATTTTAAAACTAGTCACATTTTTCAAAGCATATTTATTGAAATGAAAACTTTATTTGATAAATTAAGTGTAAAAGTTCCTAAGCAAAATCAAACTGACTTTAATATAAAAACGTTGAGGACGTAAACAACAGTGATACAAATATTTTTTCTTAATTTGCTTACGTCTCGAAAATAAAATGAATGACGAAATAAATTAAAAAGAATTCAACGCAAACATTAATTTAGTATAGACTCTTTTTTATTTCTTATACCAGCAATATATATATTCATGTTCCGATAAATTTGACCAATTTTTTATTTATTTTTATTCGGTTACTTTAATAAAATCGTCACCGATGTTGAATAAGACTGTGACTTTAGCCGCACTATGCACTTACCAAATAATTTATAGAAACTCCTAGATATAGAAAAACTTCCAATTTCGTGATTAAATAAAATAGAGATTGTGATTTTTAATGTTGAGCAGTTTTTTCATTTAATTTATCTCAAAGACAGTTATAATTTTGGATGTTCTAAAATTTATTAGAAAAGAAATAAAATCTTTTAAGTCAATTTCGCAATAAACAATTTATCGGCAATAACATAATACTTTTCGTTAGAATATATTTTGTCGTACACACATTTGTTCTGAAGCATATCAAAATTAAGAATAATAGTACTATTGGTTACTTTCTCAATTTCCCAGCTGTTGCAAAAATTATCAAACAAACAAACTTTATACAGCTCGCATATGAAAAACATTTTTGAATTATTTGACAAAATATTAACGATTCCATAAATACGGCCATTTTCAATGAGTAATCCACCTTCACGATAGTCGATGTTTCCGTAAATAGAAAATTTGTGAACTCGTAGTCCACTACAATCTGTTGTTATTTCGTTAGCAATAATAGATTCATATTTTGCAAACTGCATCGATTTACTAAATTGTCCAAAGGATTCTGAAAATTTGACTTCATTTGTGAGTACAGGTGGTTTACACATGCATTTTTGATGTTCCGTAGCTAATGTTTTTGCTAAATTGATGAAATTTTTTTTTCTGCGGGCTATTTCTGTGAAAACTTTGTGTTTTGATTCATGTCTCATGGTCCACAAATGGATCGGCGGGCCCATTTTGCGGATGGAGTCCGGATAATGCACCATGAAGTGATGTTTCGGTGTGAGTTTGCGTTTGAATGTCTCTATTACTGATTTCAAGTGCTCTTGTATTTTCTTTTCCAACAATTTAACATCACGTTCTGTTATTACAGGTGAATAGATAACTTGCATGATACTTAAAAGTGTTTGAATTGGTTTCCAGTAGTTTTCAACTTGATTCTTCACATCCAAGAATATAAATGGAACATTTATCATTAAGCAATATAGCTGAGACGCATTTTGATTCAAGTTGTGTTTTTCTAAATTCAGCAATGAAGGTTTGGTTTTTCTCTCTGTGTGACCGTAATTAAAATCGCGCACACGTTGCTGAATTTCTCCTTCTGTGAGAATTTTATTCTTGACTACCAAACCAAAAAAATCGGACAAGCAATATGGTATGACTCCCTCGTTAAAATCGTGCATACACTCAACGGACATATTATCAATGACATGGAAATACTTTAAATCATTAAAAATACACTTTCTTTTTATCCCTTTTGTCACGGTTAAATCTTCTTTTAATTTTTCATTTTCGGCTCTTTTAACTAAGTTTTCATATTTCAACTTTGTTCTTTGCTTTCGTTTATCGGCTTTTGTCATTGTTTGACATTCAATTTTTGTACTTTCACAATTGTAACGCAAGCTGAAGCGTAAGCGTAAGCGAAGCGTAAGCGCAAGCGTGGGCGCGATAACATTATAATTAATAAAGGTGAGCAGTTCTGCTCTAGACTCAAATAAGTTGACTGGTCTTTTAATATTACATGGCGAGTCCGGCAGGATTTATAAGTGCACATATGAACAAATGAATTGAGTGAATATTCCGACGAATATCGAGAGAAGAAGCAGAAACGGCAAAATCATTTAAGTGCAAACAATTCTCCTACGACTATATGAACACGAATGAATTGAGTGAATTGTGGGGTATTTTTCTATGATAGGTCAAAAGTCGAAAGAAAAAAAAAACAAAAGGATTCGTTATATGATTTTATTTTTATTCGTCTGTATAATTTTGATAGTTGCGTAAAATTGTATACGTTTCTCGTTATTCTATTTGACTGAGTCGAATTTAAATTGAACAAAGTAAGTGTGTGGAAGCGCGAATTTGTTGATATATCCGAATCTCGAATAAAGAAATTATATAATACGGTGCCGAAGAAATCGATTGTCTTTATCGATTTTGTACACTGACAATGCTCAAATCAATGTCTTTATTGCTTCAATTCGACTTTAAATTGAAATTGATTTTGGACACTGACAGTGCTCACATCAACGTCTTTGTTGTTCCAATTCGACTTTGAATTGAAAGTGATCGACTGAGTATCGGCTTTAATACTGCAGCCGATTAAATCGAAAAGAACTTACGAAATTATTGTTCACCGTATTAAATTACCCCACGAGATATGATGATTAAAGCCAACGCTCTAAAAGCCGTAGTTCGTTTAAACTACAGCGCTTCGAAAATTACCTTTAATTGGCGTGTGAATAATCAGTTATAGTAATGTACCAATGACCGTAGTTCAAAGTTGAACCGCAGTTTTTAGACACTGACCTAAACCAATACCTTTGCAATTGTTCACTCAGAAGCAACGATTTTAACGCCGTAATTCCAATATGAATCACAGTATTTAAATAATCGCCTTTGAATTTACTGGAAAACTAATTTTTAATCAATGCTCAAGAGCCGTAGTTTGATGTAACCGCAGCGCTTGACAATCAATTGAACAGTGTTCTATTTTGTATGCAAATTCACAAGGAAATACAATAGATAGCATATGAAAGCAACTCCAAACACACTGCCTATACACTTGTACTTAGGAACTACTGGATTACGTTGCACCGGCGAACTATATTTTCGCCCAAAATAAAATATTGATGCGAGAATAATATGAAAGGCAGCATGATGTGCTATATTGTATAGAGCAAATCACACTAACAACTAACGTGTCACAGAGTCGTTGGCAACCATACGATAGGTGCACAATATGAATGAATGCGCACGAGACTAAGAGAAACAACAACAATTTACGCTTGGTTGTACAATGCGGTGATGACACCGTGCCAAAAATTATTATGATCAAAATCAAATGAATCGAACTTTGTCTGATTTAATGCGGAATAAAAGTCTTATCATTCATATATATATTTAAATGTTTATTTTAGCAACCTAATTTAATGTTTTCATTCGATTCATTATGATTCGTATTTCACTTGACTTGATTCACATTTTCCCTTTAAATTCTGGTTCTTTAAATATACGGCAACCACTCTAAAATATTTTTAATTTGAATATCATTTACGAATTACTTTATATGAACCATATTAAAAAATAAATATGATTCGCAAATGAAAATAAAGTCAAATGAATTTGAAATGCTATGCACATTAAAATCTCGGTGATGATATGAAATGTACGTCTTACCGCTTTGCATGTTTGTAAGAAAAGGGTAGAGCGGGTGACAATTGCGACTTAAATAGAGAGGTGTTTAGGTGAATGCATCTGTCATTTCACCCATTAAGGCTGTTTTAGGTTGAACAATTTTATATCAAATTGAATTGGAATTTTTGTGCGCGAATTTCGTTCATTAATTGTGGCTTTCCACAACATTCTCCCCCCCTTGGGCTTTTCGTAAAAGCTCAATATTATTTTCTAGGATGGGTAACAACGCGAGTTTATGGATGGGTCTTCGCAAAATGCTTTGACCGCATTTAACTTCTACAGAACGTATTAAACCATCCTTACCCGGATAAACCTGAGTAATTTTACCAAGCGCCCACCTACTTGGAGGTAAATTATCCTCGGCCACAAGGACAATTTGATCGACTGCAGCATTCGCGTGCTCCTTTTGCCACTTTGGACGTGGTTGGAATTGATGAAGATATTCCTTTGACCATATCTTCCAAAAATCGCAATACAATCGATACAAATGCTGATATTGGTCCAGTCGATTCAACGGAATATGGGAAATATCCGGGCGTGGTAGCGTGTTGATGGCTTGAAAATTAGAGAAGTGACTAGGAGTCAAAACTTCGACATCATCACTTTCTGTTGATACTGCCCACAACGGTCTGGAATTGAGGCATGCCTCAATTTGCTTTAAAACGTAATCAAATTGACGGGAGTTTAATTTTGTGTCCTTAAGGACTCTGCGTAGGTGGTACTTTACTGAACCGACGGCTCTTTCCCATATGCCTGCCATGTGACTTGCCCGTGCTGGTATTGTTTTGAATTGTATATTTTTGATGGCAAATAACTTGGTTACCGCGTTGTTTTGTGACATTATTTGGTCAAACCATCGCTGAATTTCTTTGGATCCTCCGGTTAAATTTGTTCCATTATCTGTGTAAAACATAACGGGGATGCCCCGGCGAGCTGTGAAATTCTCAAAAGCCATTAAAAATTCAGCAGTCGTCAGATCTTGAACCAATTCCAAATGTATTGCCTTTGTAGTTAAACAGATGAACAATGCAATATATCCTTTTGATATGGGTGCGTTTCTGCGATTCGAAGTTTTTATTTGGAAAAAACCCGCATAATCACAACCAACGAATGCAAATGGTCGGGCTTGTTCAGTTCGAAAGGCTGGTAAATCGGCCATTTTCTGCTTCATGAACACCTTCCTGAACCGAAAGCAGCGCACACAGTTATGAATAAGCTTTTTGACTTGATTGCGGCCGCACACAATCCAAAATTGCTCGCGCAATTTCCGTAGTGTGAGTTGAACGCCGCCATGAAGGACCTGTTCATGTGCGTGTCGAATTAACAGCAACGTGAACGGGTGTTGCGCTGGCAGAATGATTGCCGTTTTTTGCTCCGACATATCGGCATTGCCGACTCGACCATTCATACGCATGATACCGTGTTCATCCAAGAAAGGACACAATTGACGGATATTTGAATCAGAAGCCTGACCATCTTTTCGAATCTTGCAAATATCTTGAGCAAACGCTTCATTCTGAACAATTGATACCCATGTTTTGAGAGAGTTTGAAATTTCATGTGCACGAATGGGAGCCATTCGATTTTTCACTCTATTTTTCCATCGCATAGCATGCGCGGTAAATCTTAATAAGCGCGAGTAATCAGAGAAATATTTTAAAACTCCATTTTCTTGAGGTCCGGCAATATGAAGGATAATAGTTCTTTTATTCTGTTCCGGAATATCCTTTTCTGCGACATATTCATTTGTTTTTGGCCATAAGGTGTGATCCAATAGAAAATTGGGGCCATTCCACCATAAATTGTTTGTAGAAAGTTGGTTAATTGACATACCCCTTGAGGCAATATCTGCTGGATTTTGTTCAGATGGTACATGGTGCCATATCTCCTTTGGCAATGTTTTTTGTATTTGACTGACACGATTGGCTACGAACGTTGTCCAGCGACTTGGGCAACCAGCAATCCATGCTAGAGCGATTTTAGAGTCACACCAGGCATATTGTTTGTAGTCTGATAACGATAGCGATTTGATAGACCTTACCATTAATTTCGACAATAAGGCTGCTCCACAAAGTTCCAAACGCGGGATTGAAATTGTTTTGATTGGAGCGAGCTTCGTTTTGGAGGCTATCAAATTACTCACCGTACTGTCATCCCGATGTTTGACTACTAAATAGATGGACGCTGCGTAAGCGCGATTCGCTGCGTCGCAAAATCCATGAATTTCTGTCGAAATCATGTCACTAGATAGCCCAATCCATCTTGGCACTTGAATTGGAATAGGTAAACACAGTTCCTCATAGACTTGCTGCCAATCATTTGATATGTGTTTCGGAACTGGAGTATCCCAATTAAAAGCATCTGATAGACGCCAAAGGTCTTGCATTAACATTTTTGCTCTGACAATACACGGAGCGAGCCAGCCCAAAGGATCATATAATTTAGCGATTTCGGAGAGAATATTGCGCTTCGTCCAGTTAAGAGGTTGTTTGGGGGTGGTGGAATTAAACCTGAACTGGTCAGTACTTGGTTGCCAGGCAACGCCAAGTGTTTTGAAAGTCGTTTCAAAATTGACAACTTCTTCCATGTCGCTTTCTGGTAAATCAGCGAGTATACGTACGTCATTGGCTTTCCATTTTCTCAAATTAAAACCATATTTTGCCAATTCCGAAGTGATACGTTGTCTCAAACTGATGGCCTTTTCTATGTCATCAGCAGTGCCCAAATGATCATCAACATAAAATCGCTTTCTAATAGTTTGACTGAGTTCTGGATCAGTGTCTTGAACTCGGATGCCAATTTCGTCTACCGAACGAATGGCTTGAAAGGAAGCACTACCCGTGCCAAAGGTGACTGTTAACAATTTATAAACTTTGATTTGATCGGAATCAGGCTCTTGCCATAAAATGCATTGGAAAAGAGCGTGTTCAGGATTTACCCAAATTTGGCGGTACATTTTTTCGATGTCACCACAAAAAGCGTATCTAAATCGTCGCCATTGAATTAACAAATCAAATAAATCTGGCTGAATAGTGGGGCCGATATAAAGTAAATCGTTTAAACTTGCACCATTCGATGTGATGGCTGAAGCATCGAAAACCGTTCGTACTTTGGTTGTGCTACTTGACTCTTTAATAACCGGGTGGTGTGGAAGAAAGTTCTTTGGAATTTCATGACTTTCCAGCTCTTTCATGTGACCAAGTGTCAGATACTCCGCCAGGTTTTGGTCATATAAATTTTTTACGCCTGGATTTTTGGCAAAGCGGCGTTGTGAAGAACGGAGTCGCTTTTCGGCCAATTGACGTGATTCACCTAGACATTTCGATTGTGGGTCCACCTTGAAAGGGAGATCCACGATGAATTTACCATCGGGACCACGTTTAACACTATTAACGAAAATTTGTTCCGCTGCCAATTCGTCACGGGTCAAGTGTTTGGTTGGTTCTACCTCTTCCAACTCCCAAAACTTTTGCAATAGCACGGCCAAATCTTCAGGTGGATTGTTATCAAAATGTTCCTTTTGAAGTGCGTGACACAAAGACGAAAATTCTTCGTCCACTTCTGCTGGCCCAAAGACGATCCAACCTAGTTTCGTTTGTTGGGCAATTGGCTCATCTGGCTTACCCTTTTTTACATTTGAGAGTACGATTTCAGCATATGCTTTGGCACCTAAAAGCAAATCTAGCGTACGCATACGCGTGAAATTAGGATTGGCCAACGGTAGACCGTGCAAGTGACTCCACATTTTTCGTTCATCACACTTTAAAGGGCTTACGCTTGTGACACGCTTGACTACAAGGGCGTTTATGTTGAAATTATAGTTGCTCTCGTGAATAGAGCCAATTGAGCCGACTGTTTGCCCAATCACATGACCGACTGGATCGCCGCCAATGCCTGTCATTACTGTGTTAGAGAGCTTTAATGGCAAACCCAACATTCGAAGCGCACGTTCGGAAATCAAATTAGTTGTTGCTCCTTGATCAATTAAAGCGTTTAATAAAATAGAACGTCCATTCCAACGAACTGGAACAATTGCCGTTGCCAAAATGGTGACATTTTTTGAATAAATATGATAAAAATGAGCCTGACTAGCGGTTGATAAAATCTCATAATTGTCAACTTCTTGGCTAAGTTCTTGAGTACATAGAATATTTCCTCCCTCCGGTAAATGCAACAATGTATGGTGCATTCCCTCGCATTTTTTACATGAAGGGTTAAATGGGCATTCAGAGACACTATGTGATTGCAAACAATTGCAACACAAGTTATTTTTTTCAATCGCCTTTCGTCTATCGGTTACTGGCATACGACCCAATTCATCACAGCGCGTGGCGGTGTGATTACGTTTGCAAATAACACACTGATAATCCACTCGTAATGTATAATGAATGGCAGCTTTATGATGATTGCCAGAATTTTTCCACACTTTTAATGGTCTTTGCACTTGGCTGAAGCTTTTGGTGCTGACCAGGAAAGTCTCAGTAGTCTCCAGCACGGTAATTCGAGTTTCTAGAAACTCGATGTAAACCGATAAGGCTGGGTTGGTTCTTAAACCGCATAACCTTTCTTCCCACATTTTCAATGTTTCAGGATGTAAACATTGCGAAGTATTGTAAATAAGGATAACATCCCAAGTAGATACATCTACTCCACAGTTAGTTAGAGTCACCCTAACACTATTAATCGTGTTTACTATTTGATGAATGGTGCTTGCCATTTCCTTATTAGGATCGTTTTTTGGAATAGTATATAAGCGCTGTAATTGTTCATTAGTGATGGCCCGGAAATTCTCATATCTATTTTTAAGTAGCAACATGGCTTGTTCAAATGCTCCATCACCAGGTAAAATGTGAGCAACCAAATCCCTGGCTTCATCTTGAAGCGCTTCTTTGAGATGTTGTAGTTTTAAGACATCGGAAACTTGTTCAGTTAGCAATGAACGACATGTTGCCTTGAACTCAACCCAACGTCCCAATTGTGAACCAGAAAACGATGGTAATTTGCATGCAGGAAGTTTTATTGCTCTAGTATTGCCGGGTTGGCTAATAGTTTGATCGAGAAAGCTTGTGTTATTAGCACCTGAACCAGCCAATAATTTACCAAGGGAAATACGTGCTTTCAAAACAGAACCATGAAGCGTAGCGTATTCAGCCGTAATAGTCTCTAAAATGTCCTTTTCCTTACCGGCAATAGCTTTCTCATGTTCTTCAAATGCAGCGCTATAGTTCCTCCAACCCAATTCCAATTCAGAATTGTAAACAGACAATGTGGATGAACAAGCCTGGTTAGTCAAGGTAATGATTTTTTCCAAGATCGCCTTTAGAGTGTTTACGTGTCGGACACGTGTGGCTGAAACTTTATCAATAGTTGGCGGCATTTTGGCCGCTCAATATATTGCCTGTAAGAGTAATAGCAAATCGTAGTCGAATCAAAATCTTGTTTTGCGGTGTGTTTTCTTTTTTTTTTATTGAAATTGTATAACTCTTGAATGTGTAACAATTTTTATTCAATATAATTATTCGTTCGAAACGATTGGGTTTTTGTCTCCAAATTGAACGATATTGGTTTCGAGAATGTGATTTAGAAGATTGCGGTCACGTTTAGCGCGTTCACGGCGATTTTTATTTTTGCGACGCAATTTAGCCTTTTTCGAATCAAAGGCTGCACGCAGTTGTTCATATGTTGGCTCGGGCACCGGAAGAGCAACCCTTTCTTTAATAGGAACAGCAGGGTTTGGTTCGCTTACGCGCGAACGTTCGTTTGCAATTTGAACTACCAGATTGGGATTGACTTTGCTGTCAATTTTGAATGGTTCGGTAGGAGTGCGAACTACCTTTGGTATGCGATAACTAGACAAAGGTTGAGGTTGATACTCTTCAACCTTAGTTGGCTTTTTCCTTTCGATAGGTTTTTTGGGGCCTTGTGATGATGGCCGATTAAAAAACGACCTTTTTACTGGCTTTTCGACGGAAATAATTGATCGCCCTTTGTTGATTGAGGTGACCTTTGACTTTTTTATTTGTCGCTGAGATTTGTTTGGCTTAGGATGTGATAGCTGGCCTTCACCACGACGGATTGAAGGATGTGGAGCTCGTCGCGATGGTTTAGAATCGAGAAAATCAGACTCGTCAAAAACGGTTGTTTTAACGCGCGTTGGTGGATTTGGAAACAAATCTTTCTTGTCTGTAACCTTTACAATAGCTGATGCTATAGCTGGTGATTCATCAATTTCAGACAGATAAATATCTTCATTAATGGTTAACACATCATCCGGAGCAGGTGGTACGATGAACGATGCTTTGACTTGCTTTTGATCGGTTTCTTTTATATCAATCGGTTTATTGATATTGGATTGACCTTCGACTGATTTGACCTCAGCTGGCTGTGTGGCCAACTTCGCTTTGCTACCAAAATATGTGGGGTATTTTTCTATGATAGGTCAAAAGTCGAAAGAAAAAAAAACAAAAGGATTCGTTATATGATTTTATTTTTATTCGTCTGTATAATTTTGATAGTTGCGTAAAATTGTATACGTTTCTCGTTATTCTATTTGACTGAGTCGAATTTAAATTGAACAAAGTAAGTGTGTGGAAGCGCGAATTTGTTGATATATCCGAATCTCGAATAAAGAAATTATATAATACGGTGCCGAAGAAATCGATTGTCTTTATCGATTTTGTACACTGACAATGCTCAAATCAATGTCTTTATTGCTTCAATTCGACTTTAAATTGAAATTGATTTTGGACACTGACAGTGCTCACATCAACGTCTTTGTTGTTCCAATTCGACTTTGAATTGAAAGTGATCGACTGAGTATCGGCTTTAATACTGCAGCCGATTAAATCGAAAAGAACTTACGAAATTATTGTTCACCGTATTAAATTACCCCACGAGATATGATGATTAAAGCCAACGCTCTAAAAGCCGTAGTTCGTTTAAACTACAGCGCTTCGAAAATTACCTTTAATTGGCGTGTGAATAATCAGTTATAGTAATGTACCAATGACCGTAGTTCAAAGTTGAACCGCAGTTTTTAGACACTGACCTAAACCAATACCTTTGCAATTGTTCACTCAGAAGCAACGATTTTAACGCCGTAATTCCAATATGAATCACAGTATTTAAATAATCGCCTTTGAATTTACTGGAAAACTAATTTTTAATCAATGCTCAAGAGCCGTAGTTTGATGTAACCGCAGCGCTTGACAATCAATTGAACAGTGTTCTATTTTGTATGCAAATTCACAAGGAAATACAATAGATAGCATATGAAAGCAACTCCAAACACACTGCCTATACACTTGTACTTAGGAACTACTGGATTACGTTGCACCGGCGAACTATATTTTCGCCCAAAATAAAATATTGATGCGAGAATAATATGAAAGGCAGCATGATGTGCTATATTGTATAGAGCAAATCACACTAACAACTAACGTGTCACAGAGTCGTTGGCAACCATACGATAGGTGCACAATATGAATGAATGCGCACGAGACTAAGAGAAACAACAACAATTTACGCTTGGTTGTACAATGCGGTGATGACACCGTGCCAAAAATTATTATGATCAAAATCAAATGAATCGAACTTTGTCTGATTTAATGCGGAATAAAAGTCTTATCATTCATATATATATTTAAATGTTTATTTTAGCAACCTAATTTAATGTTTTCATTCGATTCATTATGATTCGTATTTCACTTGACTTGATTCACATTTTCCCTTTAAATTCTGGTTCTTTAAATATACGGCAACCACTCTAAAATATTTTTAATTTGAATATCATTTACGAATTACTTTATATGAACCATATTAAAAAATAAATATGATTCGCAAATGAAAATAAAGTCAAATGAATTTGAAATGCTATGCACATTAAAATCTCGGTGATGATATGAAATGTACGTCTTACCGCTTTGCATGTTTGTAAGAAAAGGGTAGAGCGGGTGACAATTGCGACTTAAATAGAGAGGTGTTTAGGTGAATGCATCTGTCATTTCACCCATTAAGGCTGTTTTAGGTTGAACAATTTTATATCAAATTGAATTGGAATTTTTGTGCGCGAATTTCGTTCATTAATTGTGGCTTTCCACAACAGAATATTCCGACGAATATCTGGAGAAGAAGCAGAAACGGCAAAAATC